TTTGGCAAAAAAAGCGGCCAATTTTGGTTGAAAAAACCCTTATTTTTGTATTTTTTAGTCGAAATTTGTCAAAGTCTTTACATTTAGAAGGAGCAAAAGATCATCTAAAAAAGTTTATCTATTTATATTAAAACAATTGGCTAAAAAAAATTGAACTTCCAAGCGCCTTAATCCAAGCTAACTTACTTTTTTCTGAACCCTCATCGGCACGTTCGCCTCGTCCAAAATTTTCCCAAACTCTTCAGCCATTAGTGTCGTGTTCGGGCTGTATTTGAAGCGGAAATCCGCCGGCCTACAGTACCTAACAAGTGCGGAAAATTTGCATATAACGGAAAGGACTACCAGGTTTGCGGGGCGAAATGGCTGAGGACTCGGCGGTGGCGGTCGTCGAATTGAAATTGGGGCCGCGCCCTGTTGAAGGCGTCGTACAAATTAGCGGCAAATTCGTGCACGTCCATCCCTAGACACTCGTCGTAGTGCCTAGATTTGGGTCCGGAATTCGCTAAATTTGTTTCGAGAACTCGCTTATGTTTACCTAAGCCTACGCCTAAGCTAAGCCTAAGCTTACTAGAAAGTAACCCACAAACAAAGATGCATGTAACCGCTCAAAAAGCGCTCAATCGGCTCGCGGGAGATGGAAAATTTCACAGGTGGCCGAGTCGCTTTCCAGGTTCTAGGATGTCGACGTAGTTTTACCACATCTGCGTTCGACTGCCGGCAGTTTCTGAAAGTTTTCGTGTAAGCCTAAGCCTACGTCTAAAAGCCTAAGCCTTATCCAGCCTTTTCTTTCAAACCAGAACATACCCATGCGTCCCCGAACCACCATCCATCCCGTCACCGTGATAAGCGTGAAAGACGTCGCATAACACGAACGTCATCATCGTCGACATTACCTTAGCGACGCGGCAACTCTTCAGACCTGTGTGTCCGTCGTTCATTTTTGGATGCTGCAAAGCGTAGGCTTAAATATATTTTTTTTTGTGAAGCCTAAGCCGAACCTAAGCATAAGCTTAAGCCTAAGCCCAAGCCTAACCTAACAAGGAGTGCTTTTTTGAGTCATCGGCAAAACCTTACAAGACCTAGCTCATTCGATAGAGAATTCGATTCTGAACAAAACCCCGTTGTTCTTTTTTGCAGAATGGCTATCCCTGATTTTATAAAATTTTAAAACCGCACCCAAAAGCCTAGCTTTTGGCTCGAAAGGCGCTCATGGTAAGAGACGGTCACTAGTATTTTAATTTTCTAAAATCAGGGATAGCCATTCTGCAAAAAAGAATAACGGGGTTTTGTTCAGAAGCAAATTCTCTATCGAATGAGCTAGGTCTCGTACGGTTTTGCCGATGACTCAAAAAAAGCACTCCTTGTAAGCCCATGCCCAAGCCTAAGCTTTCCGCTCCTTACCACTCGTATATCCGGATGGAGACGGCCCCAATTTTCGGCGGCTTCCGAATAGATCTGAAGGTCCTCGGCATCTCCCCTTTCAAAGCATCGCACAGCGAGGGTATACTGTAGAGAGGAAAGGGCACAAAATAGAGAACACAGGCTCCGGGCGCGCATTTTGTAATGTAAAAATTGAGGCGGCCTGCCAAAACCAAGCACCACACAAAACATTGGAGGTAGAGCACTTACTAGTCACTTGCCAAACGGCTCGAAACAAATATCTTTAAAAAATAAAAAATGGTAAATACGCTCCTGCAATGCCAAGGCCTGGCAGAAAGTGATCTGCAAAAAATGGAGGCGCTGCTTGGTTGGTTTGACGAGGTTGAGGCCGGCTGGGGCGTTAACGATGACGGGGAAGAAGAAAATTTCCGCAATGCTTTCGAAGGGTGAGTAGTGCATGATTTAGGCCCATTTCGTTTTTTTCAGTAACTTACCAGCTGAATGAAATTTCGGCTAGACTTTGGTTTATCCCCCCCCCCCCCCCCAGCCGGAAGTTCCCAAAAACTTCTCGCTTTATCTTTTATGATATTACATTATTTTGGGCTGTAATTAAAATTCTTACTGTGACCGTTTTTTGTTGACCGTGGGATTTCGATACGTGAGATAGCACATTTTGTGCAGAATTTTTCGCTGATTCCGAATCCGTTTTCAAAAATTGCGGAACCCCTCTAGATAAAAAGTTACAGCCGGTTTTCTACCCCAAATGACCGAAAATTACAAACTTTAAATCCTTATAAAAAACTCGTGGAACATTTTGTGGGATAAAATACAGCACTCCTAGGGGTAAAAAAACGTGCTCTTTCGAATGGGTTACCTCACGAACCCATAGCTCAAAATTCATGAAAAAAAGTTTTTCGGTGGACCAATGCCCTGGATGGCCAATTTTTGAAATTTTGTGAATTTTGAGCTACGGGTTCGTGAGGTAACCCATTCGAAAGAGCACGTTTTTTTACCCCTAGGAGTGCTGTATTTTATCCCACAAAATGTTCCACGAGTTTTTTATAAGGATTTAAAGTTTGTAATTTTCGGTCATTTGGGGTAGAAAACCGGCTGTAACTTTTTATCTAGAGGGGTTCCGCAATTTTTGAAAACGGATTCGGAATCAGCGAAAAATTCTGCACAAAATGTGCTATCTCACGTATCGAAATCCCACGGTCAACAAAAAACGGTTACAGTTAGTATATTTTTTGATGCTCTATCGAATGGCGTAGTCAAAATCCCGACAAAAGAGTGAAAATCTGGAAAATTTTGGAAACCTTGGCTGTGGGTAAAGTAAAGCCTAGCCAAAAAATTCAAACTTCATTATTATTTACTATTAGGATATCGTTTTCGGCCGGCGATCGGCAATGCAACATCGTCCAACACAGCGGTGACTGACCCTATCCATAATGTCTCAGAAGAACCCCCTTAAAGCCGGTCAGGCGCGGTCTTGCTTTTACCATTTTCTCTAGACTTCGGTTCAGGAGACGGCCAGCTAGTACGAGCGGAGAAGAGCCTCAAGGATAACTACAACGACATGAAAAATAGTATGGTTGCGTTTATTCACATTTTTACCCGAATTCTAGGGGTTATAGTTTGGGCAAGTGCTCGTCGTCTGAACCAAAGCGAAGCTGACCGCCGAAAAAATCAGACCAGCCAATTCGTTAAATCACGTAAGTTTTTATACATTTTTCACTTCTATACGTATTAGTCTTGGGCATGGAACGGCCGGAAGTTTACCAAGCCGTCATTCGGCAGTTTTCCGAAATTGACACGTAAGCCTCCCGCCAGCACAAAAACACAAAAGATTAGGAAACCCGAAACGTTTGACTTTTGCATTTTGGACCAAATGAACCCAGCTAATCATTTGGACCCGGAAAAGTTCATGCCCCTGGCTCGCGTGTTGATCCAGGATCTACAAATTGCGGTAGGACTTGTTGCAGATAGGGGGGCAAACTAATTATAGTTTTAGTATAATAACGCAAATATCTGCCGTTATCTCGCGGTGGCCGGCTATGATGTGGCGGAGAAAGGTGCGTTCGATTTTATCGACCAGATCACAGCTGAGAAGTTTGCGGACATTTATAAAAATCTACGAACGAGGATGGTCTGTTTGAGCATAGTTTATTCAAAACCAACCTAGGATTATCTAAGCACAATGCGGAGAAAGGCCCGCCAATGACTCTTTATGCCAGTCGCGATTGTGGATAAAGTTGATATCTAGCCAACAGCCTCCTAATGCAATCAATAAATTAACATAAGCCAAGTCAAACGCGACTCAATGAGGGACACCACAAATAAGGCCGAAAACCGTTTTTTACGTAACCCGGGAGGCCCTGGTTTAGTTGCTACGTTTTTTTGAAGTTGCAAATAGGCAGCCCTCGTAGACCAGGCCTTCTAACTAGGGAAGTGCAAATAAAAAATCCGGCAAACCGCTTAGCAAAAATATGGGTCTGATAGAGTCGGCGACGGGGATTCCGAAACTGCAATCAGAATTTGCAAAACGCTTAATACAAAAAAGTTATGAGCATTTTAAGTTTTGCACTACATTCTCCGCCCTCCCTTATGAGCCCCTCCCAAAGATGGGTGTCCGCCTGTCGAGTGGTGTAGTGGCTAACTAGCCTGCCTCTGTGGCGGAGGGTCTCTGGTTCGACTCCCCGGTCGTGCAAAACTTTTTGCTTTTTGGTCAAGGTCAACAACTTCACACTTTTTCGAAGCTTCGAAGACCGAAATTTAGATTTTTTAACATTTTCTATATTATTGACTGCGTGTAGGCATACGTTACGAAAAAACAGAGGTGAATTTTTTTAGTGCCCTACCTGCAAAATTACTTGCACTCCCGCCACCACTTTGTAATCGGTTTCATGAATTTAAAAATTAAGAGAACGGCCTTTTCGACTTTGAAACTTTAAAAAACTCTAAAGTTGTTGAATTGAACAAAAAGCAAAAAGTTTTGCATGACCGGGGAGTCGAACCAGAGACCCTCCGCCACACAGGCAGGCTAGTTAGCCACTACACCACTCGACAGGCGGTCACCCCTCTTTGGGAGGGGCTCATAAAGGCGGGCCGAGTACGTGGTGCAAAACTTAAAATGCTCATAACTTTTTTGTATTAAGCGTTTTGCAAATTCTGATTGCAGTTTCGGAATCCCCGTCGCCGACTCTATCAGACCCATATTTTTGCTAAGCGGTTTGCCGGATTTTTTGTTTGCACTTCCCTAGTAAGGCCGATTTCCGGAGAGATCGACCTTGCCAAATCGTTTTTATTTCCGCATGTGGAAGAACACTAAAAATAGTCCCGAAAACTGTTTCGTACGTAACCCGGGTTAGCTACGATTCTTTTGAACTTGCAGCCAGGCAGCCTCTTTGAGATGTGGTCCTTATCGGGATATCCTCCGGACAGACCGACGGAAGTTGCATGCACACAGTGGCACAAACACAAAAGGAACTATTTTTCTATATACGGTAGAATGTCGTTCCACAAAAATACGGAAAACGGAAAAGCGGAGTTTGGTTTCGAATGAAAACATTTTTACCTGCTCACCCCTTAGTTGCCCTACGATAAACGACCTTCTACCATCAAGAGCCCTGGCGCTGGCCCTTGATGGTAGAAGGTCGTTTATCGGATGCGGCGATCGGCCGTGCTATCTGATGCACGATTGTGTTTGGTATCGCTCTTAGCAGCGCTACTTTTCCTAACATACACTTTCTGCCATGTGGCTTCGCCATCCGATTCGTCGCGTCATCTGTGTATTAGTGCTGTTAAGCGCTTGTGATGCGTTTTTCGGCTTGTTTGGCGACCTTGGGGATACTACCACGCTTGTTGGCGTTTCGGTCCTCCCGCAAACGGCCTTTTATGCCTTGCCAGCGATCAAAAACTACGTAGAAAATTAATTAAATGTTGGTAACGTTTGAAAGGGCAAAAATTTATGTTCAAAACTGTTTTGTTTTGATTTGGAGAAGCGCCAAAATCGTACGAAGAATTTTCATATAAATTCTCAAGGTTTCGACGATCAAAATTTATTTGCACAAAATCCCACAAAAATCATCAAAAAGAATCAATAGCTTTTTTACTACTTCGTTATTCTTCTTTTGCCATTTCTTAACCCTAAAATATTACTTCCTCAAATGTCGTCTCCACCAAGCTCGAATTTTTTGGTTTCTGTGTCCAATTTCGTTGTTGTCGTTTCTTGTTGAGCTTTCCAAAAATTCTCATGATCTTCGGATGCATTTTCGCCTTTCCTACCCATTTTTGCTTCAATTTTTCGCCTTTTGATAGCTTCACCGGAATTTTTGGTGCCTCTGGCTTCCTCAAAATCTGCTTCTCTACAATTCCATCTTTCAAATCGATCACAACGCGCTTGAGCTGCTTCTTTTTTCGGAAGTCCGGTTGGTATACGGTACTTGAGCTTGATATAATCTTCATAGTACAGCCCAACAATCTTTTGCAGCGTCTCGCAGTGCCCGAAAATTTCGGCGCGAAGCGCGCGGCGCTGCGCCTCCGTCGAGTTGCTGGTGTTGATTGGCTGGTCGCGGATGCGGCGCAGGATCTGAAAAATTATTTAAAAGGGACTGGGAAGCGGTAGAATCGACGACTCCAGTTGACCACCCATGAAAACATCCCTAAGCGTAAGCTCAGCCTAAGCCTAAGCCAAGCCTAAGCCTACGAAAATTCAAGATATTTTTTCGATTTTTACAATTTTTTCGCTTTTTTACGATTTATTCGGGGTTTTCTCGACGCCATTTGATTGGGTGTAGAAAAATACGCTAAGAATTCTGATTTGATAAAGTTAAAGGAAAAAGAAAAAGCTTTGAAAACGGGTGCAAAATGGTCAAAATGAAAATCTTTTGCTCGTTTTCATTATTTTCAAAATACTATTCGATAGAGCTTCAACAAAAATGCAAAGCGATTTAATTACACCAAAATGTGAAAAAGATATGATAATGTTACAGCAAAAAAATAAAGTAGACTTTTACCCAGAACAATAGCTGAGTGTAAATCACCTTTTTCTGATGCTGCCTCGGCACCCTAGCTTCATCCATGATTTTACGAAATTCCGAGGCCATCTTTCCGGATTTAGGGCTGTACTTGAAGCGAACTTTTTCCGGCGCGCAATACCTTAATAGCAAAAGTAGCAGAAGCAAAAACAATTCGGACGCACCATGTCTGCGGGGCAAAGTGGTGCAGGATGCGAAAGCTCTGTTGCGGATTCTGCCACCGGGGCGGCGTTTGGTCAAAAGCTTTGTAGATGGCTTTGGTGAAGTTGTGAATGTTCAGCCCGTCGCAGGACTCGGGGCCTCTAAAGAGAAGTTGCAAGCAGAAAAGGGCTCCAGGCTAAGGCCAGCCTAAGCCTAAGCCCAAGCTTAAGATTGAGCCTAAGCTAGCCTAAGCTTAAGTCTCTGCGTAAGCCTACCCCTAAGCCGAGGTAAGACTAAGCCTAGAACTAAGCTTAAGCCTAAGCCAAGCAAAACTTTAGGTAAACACAACTAATTGATATTAACCCACGCGCAAATATGCATATAGCCGCTGACAAAACGGTCGATTGGCTCGCGGGCCACGGCGAAATGGACGGTCTTCTTGGCTGGCTTCCAGACACCTCTACGCCTCTTGACCATCCGAGTCACATCGGGGTGCTTCCGGCAGTTACTGTCACTCAATATATTATATGTAGCAGTTTCAGTTTCAGGTTATAAGAAGTGATGATTGTCTCATAAAAACACGCCGCCTCAAACCCGACGTAGAAGAATAGTCTCGGAATTATATTTACACCATTCCAAACCCCCAAGAAGCAGCGAGTCGACAATGCGCATACTTACAAGCCCTTTTGTAAAATCTTCCCGTTGATTGGGGCGGCTACGAGCTAATTTGCCTCAATTTGTCTAAGCAAAATGGCCGGAAGAAGCCGATAATGAGTTGCAGAGGCTCAGATGGTTGTAAAATAGCGGTTTTAGTATGTACAAACGGGGTTTAACAAAAACATAGTTTCAGATTATTGCAAGTTTGTCTCTTCAAGCGCTTTCAAGTGGTGTAACTATAGTTCCGATCCGATACTTCTACGCCGACTGTTTTATTGGGACCCCGGTATACAAAACTGTTCGCCTTGGTTTAACTGGTAAGAACGAATAGATGAAAAGCTTTAAACTCACGAACAAAGAGCGGCAGATCCAAAATTTGATGGTGGAAACTCTGGGATCGCGGGGGAACCCTTTCAACCACTTTTGGTTTCATTTTTGTTTCAAACTTGCTTCAAATTTATCCGATACAAATCACAAACCCGCTCCTCGAAGTGCCGGCATCCCCATTGGATCCGTGATATGCATGGAAGAGATCGCACATCACATGACTGACCATCGACGACATCACCTTCGGCACGCTGCACGTCTTGATCCCGAACTGGCCGTCGTTGATTTGTCGCTAAGAGGGGTTCTAGGAAGTCAAAAATAAACGTAATATTTGGTTTCCCTTCATCGGCAAAGCTTTTGAATTGAAACAAAATATGAAAATGCCGACACTCGATTTTTCGACACAAGAGTAAAACTTTACTTTACGGCAAACGAAACCGCCGGCAAAATAGCGAAAATGTCGAAAAATTTGGGGTTCCGGGGTGGGTGGGGGTGGCAGATAAAGTAGCCGCCATTAGAAACTCTAACTTACCACCCTCGCATTATGATCCCAGCCCCTTGCAGTTGCAGCGTTGCGTAGGCGCAAGGTCTTTGGTTTCCGGGCGGTAAAGCAGTGCTCAGCGGTGACAATTTGGAGCAATAAATAGAAGACGAGACTCCAGACTACGGCAAAAATCCGGCAGTGCATCACTGATAGCCAAACGCGATGCCGAGGTATCATCGGGCGGCCACTTTTGGGTTGGCAAGCCTCTGCCCACCCTCAGGACAACCATCAGAACACGGTGCTTCGGTTGTTCCTCATTCCTCAGCGCCCGGCTTTCGGCATTACTTCGGCAGATCGGGTTTGAGGGTGAAGTCATTTGGTTGAAGGATCACCCCACAAGAGCACCAAACCATATTCGGTCTCTAGCTTTCTATCTCCCTCTCTCTCTCTCTCTCTCTCTCTCTCTCTCTCTCCGGGTGAAAGCGTTACGACCTGTAATTATGCCGCCAGACAAGGGTGACCGGGCTGATAGCGCCATAAATTGTGGCTGGGCTTGATCTTTCCGAAAGTATCTCTCCCAATACGGTTTCTAAAAAATCGCATTAAGAACCAACGAAAATAACTTCTAATTTCTAACTAAATTCGCAACTCTCGCTCTCTCTCTCGCCCTCTCTCGCCCTCTCTCACCAACCGTCTCTTTCGCATAACAATTGATAACAATATGTATTACAATTATTCATTTATTATTATTATCATTATTATTATTATTATTATTAATTAACAATTTTGACAAAAGCAATCAATAAATTCAACAAACAATAAAATATGCTACGACCTAACAACTGAACTGAAAATGAGCGTTGCTATTCTGTCGACGGCGTGACGGTTGGACTTTCCAAATCTCCATCAGCCGCTTCTACGGATCGGGTAGGCAACGTGTAGCCGAGTTGTACGAAATCGTTGTAGTAGAGCCCGACAAGGTTCCGCAACGTATCGCAATTGGCGTAGATTTCCTTTCTGATCATGCTTCTTTTGCCATCGGAAAATGCTGCAGTATTGGCTGGCTCATCCATGATGCGGTCGTGGATCTGGAGAATTTTTTGGTCGAGGGGGAAACTAGCAAAAATTTATAGGGGAATTAACGGGAAGGGGAATTAATTAAAAACGGTTTTTGTCACAAATCGTGATTTTAGTACAATTTAACAATATTTTAACTAGAAAAACAAGCAAGGAAAACTCTGAAAAAATTTTTGGCTGCAATTTTGGCAAAAAAGCGGCCAATTTTGGTTGAAAAAACCCTCATTTTTGTATTTTTTAGTCGCAATTTGTCAAAGTCTTTACATTTAGAAGGAGCAAAAAATCATCTAAAAAAGTTTATCTATTTATATTAAAACAATTGGCTAAAAAAATTGAACTTCCAAGCGCCTTAATCCAAGCTAACTTACTTTTTTCTGAACCCTCATCGGCACGTTCGCCTCGTCCAAAATTTTCCCAAACTCTTCAGCCATTAGTGTCGTGTTCGGGCTGTATTTGAAGCGGAAATCCGCCGGCCTACAGTACCTAACAAGTGCGGAAAATTTGCATATAACGGAAAGGACTACCAGGTTTGCGGGGCGAAATGGCTGAGGACTCGGCGGTGGCGGTCGTCGAATTGAAATTGGGGCCGCGCCCTGTTGAAGGCGTCGTACAAATTAGCGGCAAATTCGTGCACGTCCATCCCTAGACACTCGTCGTAGTGCCTAAATTTGGGTCCGGAATTCGCTAAATTTGTTTCGAGAACTCGCTTATGTTTACCTAAGCCTACGCCTAAGCTAAGCCTAAGCTTACTAGAAAGTAACCCACAAACAAAGATGCATGTAGCCGCTCAAAAAGCGCTCAATCGGCTCGCGGGAGATTTCACAGGTGGCCGAGTCGCTTTCCAGGTTCTAGGATGTCGACGTAGTTTTACCACATCTGCGTTCGACTGCCGGCAGTTTCTGAAAGTTTTCGTGTAAGCCTAAGCCTACGTCTAAAAGCCTAAGCCTTATCCAGCCTTTTCTTTCAAACCAGAACATACCCATGCGTCCCCGAACCACCATCCATCCCGTCACCGTGATAAGCGTGAAAGACGTCGCATAACACGAACGTCATCATCGTCGACATTACCTTAGCGACGCGGCAACTCTTCAGACCTGTGTGTCCGTCGTTCATTTTTGGATGCTGCAAAGCGTAGGCTTAAATATATTTTTTTTTGTGAAGCCTAAGCCTAACCTAAGCATAAGCTTAAGCCTAAGCCCAAGCCTAACCTAACAAGGAGTGCTTTTTTGAGTCATCGGCAAAACCTTACAAGACCTAGCTCATTCGATAGAGAATTCGATTCTGAACAAAACCCGTTGTTCTTTTTTGCAGAATGGCTATCCCTGATTTTATAAAATTTTAAAACCGCACCCAAAAGCCTAGCTTTTGGAAAGGCGCTCATGGTAAGAGACGGTCACTAGTATTTTAATTTTCTAAAAGCAGGGATAGCCATTCTGCAAAAAAGAATAACGGGGTTTTGTTCAGAATCGAATTCTCTATCGAATGAGCTAGGTCTCGTACGGTTTTGCCGATGGCTCAAAAAAAGCACTCCTTGTAAGCCCATGCCCAAGCCTAAGCTTTCCGCTCCTTACCACTCGTATATCCGGATGGAGACGGCCCCAATTTTCGGCGGCTTCCGAATAGATCTGAAGGTCCTCGGCATCTCCCCTTTCAAAGCATCGCACAGCGAGGGTATACTGTAGAGAGGAAAGGGCACAAAATAGAGAACACAGGCTCCGGGCGCGCATTTTGTAATGTAAAAATTGAGGCGGCCTGCCAAAACCAAGCACCACACAAAACATTGGAGGTAGAGCACTTACTAGTCACTTGCCAAACGGCTCGAAACAAATATCTTTAAAAAATAGAAAATGGTAAATACGCTCCTGCAATGCCAAGACCTGGCAGAAAGTGATCTGCAAAAAATGGAGGCGCTGCTTGGTTGGTTTGACGAGGTTGAGGCCGGCTGGGGCGTTAACGATGACGGGGAAGAAGAAATTTCCGCAATGCTTTCGAAGGGTGAGTAGTGCATGATTTAGGCCCATTTCGTTCTTTTCAGTAATGTACCAGCTTAATGAAATTTCCGCTACACTTTGGTTTATCCCCCCCAGCCGGACGTTCCCAAAAGCGTCCCGCTTTCCTGTTATGATATTACATTATTTTGGGCTGTAATTAAAATTCTTAGTATATTTTTTTGATGTTCTATCGAATTGCGTAGTCAAGATCCCGACAAAAAAGTGAAAATCTGGAAAATTTTGGAAACCTTGGCTGTGGGTAGAGTAAAGCCTAGCCAAAAATTCAAACTTCATTATTATTTACTGTCAGGATATCGTTTTCGGCCGGCGATCGGCAATGCAACATCGTCCAACACTGCGGTGACTGACCGTGTCCATAATGTCTCAGAAGAACCCCTTAAAGCCGGTCAGGCGTGGTCTTGCTTTTACCATTTTCTCTAGCCTTCGGTTCAGGAGACGGCCAGCTAGTACGAGCGGAGAAGAGCCTCAAGGATAACTACAACGACATGAAAAATAGTATGGTTGCGTTTATTCACATTTTTACCCGAATTCTAGGGGTTATAGTTTGGGCAAGTGCTCGTCGTCTGAACCAAAGCGAAGCTGACCGCCGAAAAAATCAGACCAGCCAATTCGCTAAATCACGTATGTTTTTATACCTTTTTCACTTCTAGACGATTAGTCTTGGGCATGGAACGGCCGGAAGTTTACCAAGCCATCATGCGACAGTTTGCCGAAATTGACACGTAAGACTCCCTTCAGCACAAAAATATAAAATATTAGGAAACCCGAAACGTTTGACTTTTGCATTTTGGATCAAATGAACCCAGCTAATCATTTGGACCCGGAAAAGTTCATGCCCCTGGCTCGCGTGTTGATCCAGGGTCTACAGATTGCGGTAGGGGTGTTGTAGATGGGGGGCAAACTAATCATGGTTTTAGTATAACAACGCAAATATCTGCCGTTATCTCGCCGTGGCCGGCTATGATGTGGCGGAAAAAGGCGCGTACGATTTTATCGATCAAATCACAGCTGAGAAGTTTACGGACATTTATAAAAATCTACGAACGAGAATGGTCTGTTTGAGCATAGTTTATTCAAAACCAACCTAGGATTATCTAAACACAATGCGGAGAAAGGCCGCCAAGGATTCCCTTTGCCAGTCGTGATTGTGGATAAAGTTGATATCTAGCCAACAGCCTCCTAATGAAATCAATAAATTAACATAAGCCAAGTCAAACGCAACTGCATGAGGGGCATCACAAATAATCCCGAAAACAGTTTTGTACGTAACCCGGGAGGCCCTGGTTTAGTTGCTACGTTTTTTTGAAGCTGCAAATAGGCAGCCCTCCTCGATTTCGATCTCAATTTCGAAAATGACAAGAACATTCTGTTCCAAAAATCTAGTCGCGTTACAAAAAGCTAAAAATTTGACGTGACGACTTGCCAAATCGACACGCCATGGTTTGTCCCATGGTCGGACAAATGTTGGGCTCAATCCATTGCGCCATCGCTACGCCAAAAAGCAGTAACGCGGGGAACAGCAACACGATGAACTGAAATTTCTGAAAAGATGAGGGACAAGGGTGCGATAGAGAGCGCGAGAGAGTGAGAGAGAAAAGTCGAGGGAGCGAGAGAGAAAAGGCGAGAGACCGAGAGAGCGAGAGAGAGAGAGAGAGAGAGAGACGGAAATGGCAATTGAGCCAGAGAGAGCGAGAGAGAAGAGAGAGAGGGAGAGAGAAAGAGAGAGAGAGGGAGATAGAGAGAGAGATCTCAGAGAGTGAGAGAAAGAAACGTGAGCACGAGAGAGAATGTTTTTCTAACATATAAGCCAGGATTGAGAAGCAGATTTTTAACCCCGGGCTCGCTCGACTTTGCTTGAATTCCGATGACAAAAATGAAAAGCGGCAGGGGCATTTTCCCCTCTGCCCATTATATAACTACTGCCACTTCTGGCGGATACAGATTTTTTTCCTAATACAGCGGCCCGAATTTTTTAGAACATTTATAAACAACCGAAATTTAATGTTTAAAACGGCTGATTTGTAAAACCTGATCAGCGTGGGGTCATTCCAGGGCCATTCCGCACCTAATGTATCATCGTACCTTAAAGGGGCTCCGAAATCGGGTCCACGGCCT